CCTCAATTTTCGTAAAAAGTGATCAACAGCAGTTACGGGTCTGGCAAACTTATTGAAATAGTTTCCAGGTAATCATTTTTTCTTCTGAAGTTCTGATCACTTAATGGGTTTTAGTGTTAAGTAAAACAAGCTAACAAGACGTTTCCTAATATTCTCATCAAATTTGAAAACTGAAATATGACTAAAAAAGTCCTTTAAAATGGGTCCTATCATGTCTGCTAACTACTAGGTCCATTGTTTTTGTAGGCCAATCCTAGCTGAAGAAACTAAGTTGTCCTTACCCTTAACTATTCCCTCAGGAAACAGTCACAGATGGTTAACAATCAATTATCCTAAAAGTTAATGAATTCTGATTAATCAAATCATTTAACAAAAATACTACTTACCAAATAATGTTTTATTTATCTTCTCGGATTGGCATTGTGAACTGGTTTGAACACATTGCAATTGCTCTAAATTAGCTAAAAGCTACTTTGACCCTTAATCCAAAACCTAAGAAATACATTTTTTTCCCTCAAACAAGAAATCCATGTCAAGCTTTTTTTAATTCATCAAGCATATTATGTTTGGTTATTTTAAACCAATTTTATTTATCATTTCATTTCATTTAGCGTAGTTTAGTAGAGTTTAGTCAAGAAGCTTTTAACTGAAATATGCTTTGACTTGGAATTAAATTATTTGATTAATAAATGTATTCTTAAGGGAAATTGTTGTTAATTTATTCCATATTTATGTAGAGTTAACTTATGACCACAATTTCAGCCCAAATCACACTTTTATTTGATATCCTAACACACACCCATTTGGAGGTGTGTTCACAAAACAAGATATGACAGTCAGAAAGTTATTTGATCAAGTAATATAATTTACAACAGCATTGAATTGTTTAATACTACTCTATTCAATATTTTCACCCTACATAATACTAGATAGATCTGAGTAAAAATGCTTTGCAAAAGTATTCACATATCTGCAAAGTAATTGTTACTATACTTTTTGTCATGGTACAAAGGGAAACCTCAATAAATTTCAGTGTTCTTTTACATCATAATCATACAGAAAATGAAATTTGTATATATATATTTTTTGTGTAATCTTTTTTTTTTCTCCAGAAAAGGTGTGGTGGTGATGGTGGTGGTGTTGGATTGAACCCCTTTTGTTTAAACCCAAAATTTAAAGAAATAAAAAATCAAGTGCAACCAAATACTTTTTGAAGTTAATTTGGGTTAATTCGATAAACTATTTCAGCTTGTGTGTAATTGAATTTCAGTATAAATAATGCAGGTCTGGGTTTGTCATAGAACATCAGCATTAAGAGTTAGGATGCAAGGTTTTTGGGAAACATAACTCAGAGAAGAGGCAGGGTAGTTTATGATGAATAATTATTCTATAAAGAATATAATAATAAAATATAAAATAAATACATACAAATCAAACAGCACAAAAACAAATAGGAAACAGAAAACAGACTGATACATGAGAAAAAATGACAAAAGACTTATTCAAAATGAGAGGAAGATATGCTGTGCATGGTAATTACTGGAATGCTAGACAGGCTAGTTAACTATAGGATAAGGAAAAACAGAAAGGTGCAGCACAGAGAGAAAGTTAGGAGCAAATGAGGGGAAAACAGACAATAAAATAATCATTGACAAAAACTAAATAATTAAAAAAATTACCAAAAAATAAAAGAAGGGAAATCAACTGAAACCAAAACAGAACCAAAGGATACCTGCAGCATGATGGCAGAATGTGGTTCTAAAATGTTCCACAGTATATTTAGACAAAATGTCTTAAAAAGGTAAAAAATAAAGTGCATTAATTCAGGATAATCTTTTAATATGTTAAATTTAACAATTTGTGACAAACAGGTGGAACTGACCATGTACTTTGGTGTTCTTCACAAATTTAAGAATTTGCTATATGAATTTCTTTAAAAACAATTTTTTTTTTTTGCTCAGTTCGGAACAAACGTTAGGTTGTGGCGTTAGCTTGGTCTGTACTTAGGACACTATGCCTGAGCTGCTTAAGAATATTATTCTGATGTTATCCCTGTAGGCAAGCTGTTTGATCTGTACTCACACAGTTTTTACATTGGTAATTACCATTAACAGGAAGTCATTATTTTTCTATATTTTGAGGGAAATTGTGAAGATAATTTCATACTTAGTTCATAAACTAGAACTGTCTTTTAACTTTTTGTGATTTACTTTAAAAGAGGATTTTGCAATATGCAGTTTTCTATCACCAAAGCTACTATTGCATAGTTGACCCTTAATTTAAAGGACACCACCTAAGAAGCCAATATGTTAGGCTTCAAACATTTTGTCTGTCTGATTTGAACATAAATAGGTTGTCAGCTCCCTTGTAAAAAAATGTGTTTGTTGGTAAATTGATCTTTGCTGTATACCGTGAGTTCCAATGTCTGATTCAGTTGGGGTGAAAGCAAGCGCTTTACACCATTAGCTCAAGTGTGCAAAATGGATGTGATGCTAGACTGAACATTTGAGAGAGATCCAGTACTGTTTAACTTTAGTATATGGAGAGTCTTTCACATGCAGATAACAAGGGAAATAATAACCAGGAAAAACAACAAAGAGACAGACTTCTTTTAGCATCTTATGCTTCCTGCACACTCCAACCAGCCCACTGCATCACAAACACTGAGCCAAGTGTTCCCTGTAGAGGGAATGCATCCAATGAAAATAATTTCCTGTCGTGTGCCTAAAGTATAAAAGGGCACTTCCTTACATTTTCTGCAGGTGATTCTTCAGGCGTTGTGTAAAAAAATGAAGGTAAAGAAAGTGAAAGCACCTTTATCGGAATGTTTTTAAAGGAAAACAATGTAAATCTAAAAAGATGGCATGGTGTGCTCATTGAAAGTTTTAATCAGTGTGAAATGACATGTACTCTCACTGCTGCCTTTTCAGTCAGTGGATCTCAAACTTTGTAAATAAATGACCTTGCTTTGCTTGTATCGATATATATGTAATTAACCAATACATTTTTTTTTAATCTGTCAGTGCTTTGCAGAGGTATTTACTTTTTACAGTTTGTTTGGTCACAACCATAAATTTTAACGACCACTTCAACACAAAATTATGCTTTGTTTTTACTTCCACAGAAATTACAAGTGGTATAAGTGTGGCTTGCTAATCTTTACAATGATCCCCTTAAATAAAGTTTTGTGCCAGCAAATACTTTGAAAAGTTACCTCATAAGCAGGGAAAAGAACGCTAAACAAGAGTTGATGGGCAGAGTTGAATAACAAAAAAAACTTGGACTCTTAGATTTAACAAAAGGTAAACAGCTGCATAAACCGTTTTATGCAGGCAGGCTGAATTCAAATTCTAGCAAAAATGTTTTTAGATTTTAATTAGTAAAATTTTTTAAAAATCATGCAGAAATAAAAGTTAAATCCTTTGAAACAAACCTGGGATTTGTTTCATAGAGATTTCAGAAAGATTTTTTTTTATTACTTGAAGAAAGTAATAAAAAAAGAGTAACAAAAGACATTAGAAGGGATTAATAACAATGAATCTACGTATCTATTTCATGAGAAAACAAAAAGGAACTTAATGAGCGAAAACACTTAAAATAAAAACAACTTATATTTCTTCCCCTAAGCATCACTTTTCTCAACTGCCAATTACCCTCAAGTTGACGCTTTTAGAAAGTCTGTTTCTCTTTAAAATACTTCATGCTTTTTGTCACCCTGTCAGAATAATAATAAAGAAAAAAGTCTTTCAAACTTTAAATCTGTTTAAACGGATTTAAACAGTTGGTGACTTTCCTGCACCGGGGCTCCAAAGCTCAAGTGTGTCGCCAGTTAAAATTTACATCTCTATCTTTGCCACAGGCCTCCGAATACAGGAGCTGGGCTGAGGGAGGGACAGGAATTATGAAAGAGGCAGAAAGCAAGGCTTTGGGAAAAAAATTTCAAGACATTTCATCATTTTGGCTGGAAGGCGTCTTAGTAATTACTTCATCTGAGGAAGAGCGTGTGTGTGTGTGTGTGTGTGTGTGTGTGGGGGGGGTTACGAGGTGGAATACAAAGGTGGGGTCAGACTATGAGGTAGGTCTATCTTCCCCATTAACCTTAACTTGGCTTCTTCCTGGGCTACAGGTTAAAAGATGCAAGACTCTTATCTCTGTAGAGCTACTATAATTCAATTAAAGCAATGACACAGAGGTGAGGACAATTGATGCCCCACATTAGGGAGCCCACCCCCCTTCTCCCCTTCCCCTCCCCGTCAAGATTAATTACCCTTCATTGGCTGCTTAAATGGCGTTTGAATCATAATCTGCCTAAAATCGCAATAATACCACCAGTAATCTAACAAGAATGGAAAATCTTGGGATCTTTTACTATCTGTGGCGGATTAGTAATGGTTCATTAGAAATTGTGTTGAATAAAACTCATCAACAGTAGAAAGGTAAGTGGAAAAAAAAACAAGATGAAGAGTGGATTAAATTAAATCCTTTAAATTAATATAATTTTCTAAAGATAACGTTAATCAGAACGATGACGCATAATTTCATAAGGAGTTCATTAGAATATATTTAAACTGTGATGTTCTAGTTAGTCATTGTTAGAGTCCAACTCATTCACATTTAGATATATAGTTAGAAATATAACTTCCTTGTCATGCAGCGACATTAATCAGCATATTCCGACAGGTGAGTTTGTAAAAGCATGCAGAAAGACACACAGAAGTAACAGTTTTATAACCATTATAAATGCAAGATAAACTTTAAATCTTTTTCTTTAAATAATTGAGGGTATTATGATACAACCATATTACAAACGGTAAATTTCCAGCCAAATCTCTCAAAAAAAACCTTTCATCTTCAACAAACTATCAGAAAACATGCATCTTTTACATGAGCAGCGCATCTGGTGCAGCCACGTAACACTAAAATGAGAATATAAACAAAGATATTTGAAAAACAAGAGAGCTTTGTAATCCAAATCAAAGATGCGAAAAGCAAAGCGGTACCTTCTGCTCACACACAGCCTCATCCTGGAGACAGGGAGATAAAAATCCTGCTGGCTCTGAGTCTCGCTGGGGATGGAGGAAGCCCCCCCACTCCTATGTGCTCTCTGGACTGGCTTACCCAGCTCTCCCTTAAAGCTCAGAGAAAACCTCAACACATGCAGAGCTGCTGCCAACACCACGCCATGCCACTCCAGCACCACCAACAGCAGCAGTGGCAGCTATACACCAAAAGAGAAAGGCAGAGGAGGGAGATAGACTGTGCAGGAGTGGAAAGACAGAAAGGAAGAGTGGGAGGGAAGGAGCTTAAAGGAAAAAGACTGGGAGAATGCGGGGGCGTGATGATGGAGCGCTGAAAAGATATGAGCAGAAGAGGGGGAGGGAGAGAGAGAAAGAGATGGAGGAAGAAGAACCTTACCTGATAGGGTCTATGTTGTTTATCTCCTCGTCAGACAGCTAAAGGAAATGACAGCATGTTAGTGGAGGAGGAGACCCATCAGAACTGGTCTAAAAGCAGCCAAGTAGGGCATTTCTGCAGCTCACGCACTCATCCAAAGACAAACCAAATCTACAAACTCAGCAGGCATTCCCTCGGTTTTCCCCCTTATTTTACTTTATGGAAATCCGTTTTTATCATTTAGCCCCATGTTGTTCTGTCACTATTTTAAATAATTCCTCTCTACTTTCACCCCCACTCCTGTTCGTGACAGAACTCATCAGACTGCACCCGGATTTCTACATCTGCACTCACTTTAGGTGAGAAGCGAACAATCATATCATCACCAAGAGTGTGAAAGCAAGAGGAAGTAAAGGAAGGATGGGGAGGGAGAGCGGGACCCTCTGTTGCAGCCAGACTGCAAATACATGGCATGCTCCCACCACTCCAACCCCCACCTCCACAACACTTGCTAACACCCCCTTAATGTACTTCTGGCAGTAACTCAGTATCCCTGTCAGAGTTGGAGCTGGTTGAGGTGGAAAAAGAGGAGAGGAGAGGAGGATGTGAAAAGATGCAGAGAAAAGGAGAATGAGACAGGGGTGAACAGGTGGTTCAATCTGTTGAATTTTACATCTCCAGCTCCAGGCTGTTGGGAAAATGCATTTTATTATAGTTGCCTACAGGTGATTCTTCAACAGGGGAAAAATTGGAGTCAAATTTGAATAGGAGCACAGCAGGTTTTTAAGCTACCATTCAGGATCAATGGCTTTGTAGACTGTAGTGGAGCACAAGGTTTGATAATACATGAAATCAATAGCAACATTTTATTTCGCTTTTTTTTTCTTAATACAAACATTTGCTCCATGCAGCTGAAGGTGGAAGAATTATTTTAACTGAATTTATCACTAAAAAGACAGGCTTCAGGTTTTCTTTTGTGAATCATGATTTTTAATTAAAAAACATTTTGACTTTTGACTTGTGCATGCAATATTTTTTAAAGGATCTGACATTGTATGGGTAATATCTTTAAAAAAGGACCGCCTTACTGTTATCATATCCACAAAGAGTACAGCACTTAATTGGTTGTTCTTCCCTTATTCCTATATATTTGTATTTTAGGGTGCTGGAGTTATAGTGTGTTGCTGTGAATATGTACATAATATGGACTTTGTTTACTAAGATCTCAATAACAAACTCTAAATTGCATGAGCAAGCTGAAAAATCACATGCGCTTTTGGTGGCTATGTTTTGGGTGATCTGCTTAGGCTGCATAGTAAATTAATAGCAAGTTTAAAAGTTTTGCAAACTACCCTTATCCATGAGGATTTTGTGTAAGTGACAAGAGAAAGATGAAGATTGAAGCCTTGGAGATATGGGTGCAGGATGCAAATGTCACATTGGTCAGCTCTTCCAGAGACTTCTACCAGAAGAAACCTGACTTGCAAGGCCAAAAGGTAAGTAGGTACAGTAGGTAGGTGACTGACTGACTGACAGACATTTTCCATGACACTAATCCCAAATGTTGTCGCGAGGTTTGCTGGTGCCTATCTCCAGCTGTCTACGGGCGAGAGGCGGGGTACACCCTGGACAGGTCCCCAGTCCAAGGATGTACCGGTAAGTGAAATTTATATGACAAGAAATCTGCAGAACAAATAAGCACATTCCAAGTCAGATGCAAATCCAATAGTTCAACTGCAATGTTGAAGTCTTTTATGGTGTATTGGGCGATGGGTCAGTTCTGGATCATGATGAGTGTGCTTATGATGTTTTCAAGTCCAAACAATGTTTTTTTTTAAAAACAGCTTCAAAATCAATCATAGATTGTCAGTAAGCCCAGAGCTACCAGTTAACTACATACAGTGTAGTCTTCAGCCTTTCTTCAGTTAACAGTGGATGGAGTTAGGTAGAATTAATATCTACAGTCTGGAAAGTCGGAAAAATTTTTATTTTTAGGGAATCAATCAGCTTGATTCTGTATCCAAATACCCATAAAGTAGCACTAACACACACACACACATAAAACTTCAGTTTACAAAAAATAAACAAAAAATAAATCTTTTTCATTTATAAAATCCTGGTGTGAAAATCAATACTTCATTACCCCTTATTGTTAGTGTCACTCTGTATTTATTATGGGACAAAGGCAAAACACGAATGAATAGCATATTTAATAAGTAGAGAGTCTCTCATTCAAAGAGGCAACAATGCAGATGGATTATTTGCTCCTCAGCTTGAAAAGTAATCGAAAACACAGAATGTGTACACAACAGAAGGTCAGACACCTGCAGAAGCTGTCTGTTTCATTAGCACGTTTGCACAAGTACAAGGACTTCTGCGAGGAAATGAAAGTTCGCAGCGCCACAGATACTCTGAACACCAACAGGCTCACAAGCCTGCCTCGCAGCCCCCTCACCACCCACCTTTTTTTCCCAAGCAGTTGCTAAGGTGACAGCAAAGGCTGAATTTTAATCAGACAATAAATTAAGGCAATGCGATCTTCTCCCTTTAGTATTAAATGGGAGCGGAGCAGATTGGACGATCCTGTCAGGTGTGTTTAGGGTTAATGCGGAAACAGTGGCTAGGCTGCAGATCAGGCAAGGAGTTGCTTTACCTCGTCCAGGGAGCGAGTGGAACAGCACACTTCTGTGCTTATAGCGAGTGAAGCAATTTGCATTCTGAAGCAAGGAAGCTGAAGCCAAATGGATTATCATGTACCACTGGGGGTGAATGTCACACTGAGACTGCAAATACACTCGTTTTTATTGCAGTAACTGCTGATTGAGCCTTTCAGGCCTGTCCCTGTGTAAACAGCTTTGAGAGTGTAGAAGCACTGGTTGCTTCAGAAGAAAACTTCCCTGCTGCCATGGCTCTTTAACAAGGTTACATCTTCAGCTGAGTAGATGATGGATGTCACAAACAAACAGGAGTGAGTGGGCTGAGTTGGTAGATGAATGCATTGTTCAGTCCGGATAGTTTTGTGCGGAGGAGTTGTTGATGGGGAGAATTCTAATGAGATCTTCCATAAATGGGCCGCCGATGGTCATCGCTGAGCAGTTCTTATGTACAGACCCATATTCGCCTCACCTGGTTGACAAGCTAAGCTGCAGTGCTAGCTGTTCTATTGTTTGACGAATTTACTGTAGCTAGATAGAAATCTAACTATTTTGCTGCATGAATGTGCTAATACAACGCTGATGTACACACGATTGCAATCCTTTTTGTATGCATGTAAAAATCTTTCAGGTACTCCGACATAACTAAATAGTAATTTGGTCTTGCCTATTGTTTCTTCAGACCTTTTGAAGATATTAAATTATTACTTTTTACTTTGGCTGGTTTTCCTCTAGCTTTATGTCAGATGTGTGACCATTTTCAAAATAATGCTTTTTTGCTATTTTGTTGTTGTCGTTAAAGCTCTTTATTGAGCCTTGAAAAGATATGTAGACCCCTTTTTTAAATTTCATCATCTTACAACCATATACTTGGATGCCGTTTATTGATATTTTTGTGGGACTAACCAACATAAAGCAGTAAAAAAATAAAAATAAAAAAGTATTGTGTTGAAACATTTTCAAGAAAGCGTATCAGCTTGCAACAAATCAGTTTGGATCGATACCATCTAGGGTGGCTGGATGTCCTGCTTTGGGCCGGACAGTCCGGATTTTTATTGCACTGTCCAGTGTCCTTTGCAGCATCCAGCCGGATGCCTAACTGTCCTCCATTACAGGGCACAAGATTTTTTTTCCATTTATGCTGGGCTGCAGCACATTATCCAATCATAGAATGTAAAAAAAAAAATGGATTGACTATCTGGTCTAACAGATGATTGGTTAAAAGTGGTGCAGCATCAGATAAATATCAAATTGTCATTGTTTAGTAAACAACGATCAAGTTATACACTGACATATTTTTTTAAATAAAATATTAGGCTTTTTTATTATGTATTTTACCCGTTAAATAATTTTTTTAACATTTAAGCCCACACGTTATACTTTCTGGCGTGCTGCGCTTTAAAAGATTAATCTCAGCGGTCACTTTTTGAACATCATAATTAATTAAATAAATACAGTACAAATACTGGGAACTAGGGCTGCAACGATTATTTTGAAAATCCATTAATCGGTTGATTATTTTTCTAATTAACTGATTAATAATCAGATAACCAAAGGCTCTTTAAAAAAGATATTCTACTAAATTAAACCAGGTGAAACTAAAACTTGAGGCATTCTGGATAAAACATATTAACACACAAATACGTTTTTTTTTTATCTTAAATGCAAAATGTTTTTTTTTTTTTCTTACAAAGTTGGTATAATTAGTGCACTGAAGGCCTTTTTTAGAGCCTCTACACTCAACAAGCTAACGATGAATTGATTACTAAATTAGTTGACGATTATTTCAACAATCGATTAATCGCTATTATTCCGATAATTTTTTTTGCCCTACTGGGAACCAATACTTTTTTACATTTCATTAATATTTCCTGTTCAGCTACAAAGGCATCCTCTTTAAAGGCACACTATGCAACATTTTTCAGTTAATTAATGTGTTCCATAACGTTTTGGATGATTAAATGAGTCATTTCAGGTTGAACAACAGCTGAGCCTTGACGCGCGTCAACCATTGACTTTGCATGTAAACTCGCTGCTTCTGTCGCGCCAGCTACGTCCAGTGTGAACGCAGCATTAGTCATTCGCTGCTAAGCTCAAAACAACCGCGCCTGGCTTGACGGAGAAACCAGGAGAACAGCTGAGCATATTTACGACAGTGCACTTTTACTTTCGCCCTCTGGGGGGAGCCTCGCTGGAAAATCAACACCGGTTGCATAGTGTACCTTTAAGCCCCTAAAAATTGTAATATAAATGACAG